CAGGTCCAATAATGGTGTAATTAATCCATCCCAATCCGTGCTGATCCATCAACTCGCACCTTGATGGAATCCACCTTTTGTGCCAGAGCCTGAATCTCAGCCAAAGTTCCAAGTTTACGACTCATCTCGACAATTATATGAGTTTGTGCGTTCACAGCGCGATGCATTTGCCTTTTGTTTGTGTTTGAGCTTCTGTTCTTTTACTGTACAGCACTGTGGTTAGCTCCCATACTATCATGGTATGGTATCACATTATGTTTGATGAAGTTAAGGAAACTTGTTTTATTTGGACCTTTTATTCTACGGTGACCCCTCTGACAGCCATTCTCAGTGACTCCTGGATAACTTGTCTTTGCTGATGTTTTTGATGATGATTAAATAATTTAAAAAATGTTGGCAGAACAGGGTTGGAACATTTAAATCATGCTGGGTATTTAAATGACCTCTTCTCAGAGAAAGTCAGGGCTGGTAAAGTTGGCATGAGCTGCTGGTTTCATGTAGAGGTAGTGTTGCATCTGAAGATCCTAAATCAAGCCTCTAACTGCAGCTTTTATTTGGATTTCTCCTCAACTGGTGTTTATTCTCTCACACTGAGTGAATATTATAAGACAATGTTGTCATTATTATCACATTTAAAATATTCTACTTTAAACTGACTAATAAATGAACACAAATCTTCCATATGTTTTGTTTAACTGCATTAAAGAGAATATTAGGCTGATGATCACATGAACGAATTTCTAACCTTGTTAATATTCCAGCCTCGGAGAAAGAAAAATATGATGCCCTGGTCTTTCAGAAGAAGGAAGAGGCTGATTGCCTCGGAGCAAGGCGGGAATGCCTCTGAGATCGTAAAGGTCGTTGAAAGGCGTGAGAATGAGAGAGGTGTTATTTTTTAAAGACGTGTTTAAAATGAACGCTTAACTTTATAATAGCTGACACCTGGAGTTAGCAACAGGTCTTGGCAGGTAGCTTTTACTTCAGGACGTTTTGTACATCTGATGGATGACAAATGTTTTTATTTAATTTAATTTATTTTCTTTAATCAGGAAGAAAATCCCATTGAGGTATTTTTCAAGGGAGACCTGGTCAAGACGGGCAGCAGCAAGCATCACACAAAGTTACAGAAAAATAAACACAAAATATAGTCAAACAGTTCAAACCAATTCATTTTTGGGATGTTTTTGTTTTGTTTGTGGAAACGTTGCATCAGAACAAAGACAACAGGCTTAAAATCATCCATGTGGCTTTAATAGCATCCGTTTTAAATGTCTTATTCTAGTTTAGTTTATATTTTTTTAACTGAAGTGATGTTAATCAGATGAATCCCAGAGTTCAGCTTTGTTCCTTCATCACACTGACATGTTAATGAGCTCAGATCGTCTCGTTAATCACCTTCAACCATTTGGCGCGTCCAATTTATGATGACAACGCTCCACGATCATGCAATAAATTTAGCGCCTATTTAATTAGATTCTTTCATTTGGGAAATGCCCAACACACGGCATCAGAATTAATAATAATAATAATAATAATAATAATAATAATAATAATAATAATAATAATAATAATAATAACAATAATAATAACAATAATAATAATAATAATAACAATAACAATGATAACAATAATGATGATGATAATAATAATAATAACAATAATAACAATAATGATAATAATAATAATAATAATAATAATAATAATAATAATAATAATAATAATAATAATAATAATAATAATAGTAATAGTAATAATAACAATAATAATAATAATAAACACATTTCATCAACATCTGAATAGTAACTGAAGAAGGAGAATTGATTGAATCCTTTAAGACAAACTGGTTGATGTTTCTATATTAATACGTTGATAATCAACACTGAAACCAACTGAGATCAGTGAAGAAGTTTCCTCTTGGTCCAAAAGGAAACAGCTGATGTCCACATGTGCAGTCTGAGTTTTATTAACTCTATAAACTGTGTTAATATTCTTAAGTGGCAGAAAAACACTGTTCAAAAGCTTTTATGGGTCTGAGGTGATTCTGATTTTCAAGATAAAATAATATTAGTAATGTTGCTGTTGATTTGGTTTATACTTCTGTCCTTTGACTCTGAATTAATTGCAAATGTCTGCCTTGCTTTTACAATAATAGATTTCTTTTCATGCTTTTTGGCACAACAACATTTTTATTCCCCAAATGCAAAAAAAAGAAGAGATTTCCGTGTTTTGTTCACGTTTGTTCACTGCTCCGCACAAGCTGCAAACATTTACTACATTTAATTAAACAATTTAAAGTTTGAAACATTTCTCATTTACGTTAGGCTCAGAACGTCTCACACAATTCTCTTATTTCTTTACATTTTGTATCTTTCATTATCTTAATGTGACTTTGACAACTATCAGACGCTCATCAGTAATTATCATATGGTTGCTTTGCTGCTGCTTACGTTGACCAACAGTAACTTTACAAAAACACTTATCCTAGCCATAAACAAATGAAGTTGAAGCAAAGATGGTTTTATTTGTGCTGCAGCAACAGCTGTGTGTGTGTGTGTGTGTGTGCGTGCGTACGTGCGTGCGTGTGTGTGTGCGTGTGTGTGTGTGTGTGAGATCTTTATTAACATCTCCATATAAATGATGTGCTGTTATCATTTATTCCAGCAGATACATCATGTCGTGTCTCGTGTTATCTGCACATGGGAGTTCAGGCTGCTTGCTCTGATTTACGACTCTGGGGTCTGACTCTGTATATTTACAGTTTCATGACCTGAAAACGACACCCAGGGAGCCCAGCGAGTAGGAGAGAGCAGGGCAGGGAGGGTCAGGGACTGCAACTCACCAAAAACAAAATAAAACACGTTTTTTCTTTAAAATGAAAGGAAAAATTACGCTTCTTTGTGTCTTCTTTTAGTGTTGCATCAGAAATGTATTTTCATATTCATAAATTGTGATTTTCTGTCATATCTCTGCGATTCTCTTAACAGAAAAGACATTAAGTGATGTCATCTCGAGGACGGATGTTTTCTGAGAACCGAGATCTGATGTAGCAACAAGACCGACCCACTCTAGTAAAAAGGCTAATAACAAGCCTGAAACACAAAAACAACCGTTTGGACTGATAAGAATGGCAGCCTGAAGTCTGAAGAGCTCAGAGTGACAGCAGCGTGGATTTACACCTCAGCTTGAAATTATCACAAACTTGTTCCTGAGAAGCAAACGGTGTTTGGCAGCAATGATGGGTCGGACCAAAGCATCAGAGGAATCCTTTACCCTAGCATCTGGCTGCTAAAACGTGTGTGTGTGTGTGTGTGTGTGTGTGTGTGTGTGTGTGTGTGTGTGTGTGTGTGTGTGTGTGTGTGTGTGTGTGTGTGTGTGTGTGTGTGTGTGTTACACATTGCTGTGAAACTCCATGACTGCACTCTTGATTTTATGTCTGTAGTTTTCTTTCAGAGGACCCTACTCAGTTTGGTTTGAGAAGTTTTAGTTTCTACGCGGTACGCATTCAGATTGGGTCAGACAAGAAGTCAAACACTTTAGCAGCGCAAAACATTCAGAAACTTTCAAAATAAAGTTAACATTCAAATTTCCGGCTGGTTTACTAAAACATGTTTGTTACCATCTCTGACCCTCCATAGCCGAGGTAAACGTAACAGAAAATAAACCAGACATGCGTGGATACATGCAACCATCGTTCTCCTTGTCTGATCGCGTGAAATGCCAAAATCACGCGTGGTGTAGCAAATCTCACGTGGCCTTGCTTTCACTGCTGTTTTGCATCTGAAATGCTCCCGTTGTGACGGGTAAAACACGCCACTAACGCATCCCGTGGGAAGGCGGAGTTAGTGCGTATCAATGAAATAATCTGTCCTCTTCATTTGTTGCGAGCAAATAAAACAATCTTTATTTGAAACCATTTTCAAGTCCGTTCCTCTTTTTTAGGACCACCTCTTTAACTTTTCTATAAACCCTACCTCAGAGTTAGAAGCCATCTGATTGGTCGGTCTGACGGGAACCAACTCTTGGAGAAGGGGTCGCTGTGTTTTATGAGCCATTAAAGTTTTATTCATCCCTGCACAGAGGCAGCCTTCAGCCACGAGGTCACCATGCTTTAAATAAACCCCCCCACCACCACCTTCCCAATATCGCTCTTCTCACCCACCCCCTCCCCCCACTGAAACCCTTCCACCCACAGACTTAATGGACTGTTTATTGTTTGATGTCCAAGTCCAACTCCATCATTTTTTCCCTCTCTGGCTCTCCCTCGGCTTTTCGGCCTCCACTTGTGTTTAGTGGTGTGGCGGTTTGACTGATGTGGTCCCTCTGCATTTTTTTGCTCTACGTGATCCAGAGCGTGTTTGAGCGTTGCACACGGGCACAGTGACCGTAAATTTCTTTGGAGCATCATGCTTTTGTCTTCAGTAACTCGTCCCTGGGCTGCTCTTTGTTTACGAGCATTCACTTTTAAAGGAAACTGCGGCTTTTTATTCAGAAACGGATAAAAACACATTCCTGAGCCCCAGTGTGGCACGGGTCTACGCTTTACTCCAAACATGAACCACTAACCACACTCACAGAGTCCTTTCTACACCTTTCTCTGGTAAACCTGGAGAAAATGCCAAAGTTGCAAAGCAGAAAAACTAAATTGGTGACGTGTTTAAGTCAGAAAGCTTTGTTTTTGTGCAGCTGAACTCTGACAGCATGTTTAGGATACGTTAGCTCACAGAAGCATGACGTCATTAAACTCTTTCACATGGATTTATTAGCTGTCATGGTGCCTGTGGAGAGCATAAACTGTTGTCAGAAGATTACATATCAAGTTTCACCATTAAGATGCGTCAGTAATGACAGAGCTGGAGTTTTTGTGCCGATTGCTTGATTAAATATTCAAATGATCAAATAAATGTGACTTGTTATAAGACCCACAGTTTTAGCATTTGTCCCAAAGGTTAAGGCAAATTAGGTTAGTTTGTGTTTTTAACTACATTTATTTATTTGACGTACTGGAATCAACATATTTATGGTTATTTTTCGATCACCTCGTAATTTAGTAAATGTTTTCATCATGTTTGTAGGAGAAATGTGTTTTGTTAGTTGAATATATTTGCTTTTACATAAACATAGAAGAAAAAGAAAAGTTGGGCCATAATTTGTACTAAAAATACAAATCAGTGCTAATTCAAAAGCATTAAAAATTTGGATAAATGTTGCAGATCTCATTAGATTTTTAGAATCTCTTCTATTGGAACTTTTAATTAATTTTAATTGCATTTAAAATATGGCCAACTAGGGAATGGCCAACATACCAAGCCAAAATCTACATTTTTGAATACATCATTAGCAGATAAACCTCTTTAGAGAGCCGATTTAAAGTCAGGCACATCCATGGGCAGCCCAGTGCTGCTGTTGTTCCTGGAAAACGTCTGCTTAATAAATGCTCTAAAACATAGTTTCCAGCTGAAATGGCTTTTTAATTTTTTCCTGCTTATATTTGCTACTTGGTCCGTTTACAGATTTGTTTGATTAACTTTGAATAAATGTTTGATTTTATTATTGATCAGAAAAATAACTCAGAGTTCAGAGACTGGATAGGTTCAAAAATGTTGTGGTGAAGAAATGGTCTAGAAACTGAGCGTAAAAATTGCCCCAAAAGGTCAGCATCGGTATCGGCAATGAACAACCCCACATCGGTGGATCTGTATGACTAACGGTAACCATGGTGATAAACTGAGACGCTCTAGGTAACAGAAACAGCTTTCTGTTTACCTCTCAGTCACAGGAGTAAATGTCAGAATCTAGCACCAGACTTTTAAAACAGCGTTTTGTCCTCTGATGAGGATTATTTCTAACTTCTCCATCTAGTCATCAGGGGGACTTGCAGTTTCACGCCCATTCCCTCTCTTCCCTCTCCTGCAGCCATTGGCCGAGGGGGACGGAGTCATGGAGGAGTTATTTGTGGGTGGGGTGGCTGCAGGAGAGTTTGTAGAGTTCTCTTACAAGTTGTGTTACAGCTGACCCTGTCCTCAACTTTGACCCCTGACCCCTACAGAGATCTGTCATGAGAGGGAGCTGCTTAACACAAAATGGAGCCTGGTTCAAGAGTCAGAGCGCGCGCGAGAGAGAGAGCCAGGCGGAGAGGGCTTTACCACTCACAGTGGACTCATTTATCCTCTCCATCGCCTCTCTGGGATTTTTCCACTCCTCTCCTTTGCTTTCTCTTTTGTTTTTGCTGCAGGAACTCTGTTGCTCTTTATTTCCTGTACATCCCTTCTCCTTCCTCCTGTTTGTCCTCCCCTCCCCTCATCTTCTCGCCGTGTTCTGGTTGACTTTTGGAACAACAGCATGCCGTCACCACCACAGGCAGGGACTCATGGCGGCAGGAAGCAGCAGGATTCTGGGAGGGAATTTGGAGGGACGATCCTTTAATGAGAGCGAGGCCTCATCAGCTGGAGAAATGTATGCTAATGATATGCACACACCAAAAGGAGCCTGGGTAGGCAAGGCAGGCGCTGGCCGAGCTCCCGCTGGGCTCTGAGGAGGATGAGCGGCTCAGGTCAGAAGAATGGCAACACAAACACCTCCTCCTCCTCCTCCTTTCTGTTTCTTCTTTCTTCTGCTTCACCCTGCGTCCATGAGGGCAGAGACAAAAGAAACATGGTTAACACGGATCTGGGATCAAGCTTTAAAAGTTACTTTTAGTTGTTTTTCTAGTGTAAAGAAAATAGATGAAGATATTTTTAATAATTAAGTTAAAATTAGAGACATTTGGCTTTAATTTGAGATTAAATTCATGCCTAATATTAATAACATTAATTGTATTTTACACATCATAATCAGCGTTTATTATGGCTGTCCTATTAAAGGCTAACACATGACAAGAATTTAAATAGGAAAATAACGTAAATAATTTGTGCAAAACAGAAAAAATTTCTTTTAATTACTTGATTATATTTTTGTCGGATTTATTTCTTTTAAATGTATCTGAAAATCTGTTTTTCTTCAGTGTTGCTGTTTGTTTATATATGATCTAATAAACCAATTGTTCTTCATATTTTAGTTAATGACAAAAATAGTAAAATATTATAAAAAAACTATTTTAAAACCATTTTAATAGGAAATGATTTATGCAAAGCTAAAATAAATAAATAAATAAATAAATAAATAAATAAATAAACGGGAAACTGGTTCTGTGACTTGAAGTCGAACTAACAACTGAAGTCTTCTGGGTTTATTTGCGCCATCAGTTTCATTCTCCTCCGCTCGGAGCTCCTGTCTCAGATCTGTCGGTCGCTGCAACGACGGACTTTAAAAAATCACAAGTGAAAATAAAAAAAAAGCTAAACATAAATTAAGGATGCAGCACCAGGATGTTGGTGGCGGAGATCGTTAAATATAAAAGAACCCCGTTATTTTTATGTATTTGTGATTTTTGCCTCCGTCGCCAGAGGAAACGGGAGCAGAGGAGCCAGAGCCTTCGGAGAGAAAAGGAGAGTGGCACCTGATGATGTCGACTCTGACACGTGTTAATTGCTGCTCAGCTCTCCTCATCAGGGAGGCGCAAATTATTTTAGCGCTCCGGGCCACAATGCGCCTTGTTTGCGTCGGCTGAGGCGCAGCGAGCTGGTCCTGTCCCCAAATACAAACCAAACAAAGGTTTTAATGAATATTAGCTACTATCAACAGAATTTTACTTATTCAAATCGGAAAACAAAAATATCACAAATAAATTCAACATTTGTGTTTATTTTTCTCTGGAAAAAATAAGATCAGAAGAACAAATTAAGGATATTAAAATTGTTCCTTCATTTGTCCGATTTTATTCCAAAATAAAATTCTAAGCATTAATTTATTTTTGCTTATTTTTAACATTGAACACAATTTAAATTCCTGTTGTTTTAAACATTAAAAACACAATGAAAGAAACTATCTACAAGAAATAATATTTTCATACGAATTTTGTTCTTTATTAATCAAGCTGACTTAATTTAAATACATTGCCCCTAAATGAACACAACAGACACCATTATTTATTTAAATGCTTATTTCTGTTTTATTCTCAATTATCAGCTCTGTGATCAGCCTCTGGTCTGTGGATTACATGGGGCCTGTTAGATTAGACGGCCTTGGCATGGTGGATTATAAAGTCATTGTTATTGTCCAGCAGCCTCTAGGTTGGCGACTTGTTTATGACACCAGTAATGCCAGTAATTGTTATTGCTGAGATTACCTGTCAAGAGGACCAGGACAGGGGGCTTAGAGAAGGCGTTGCTCCCTTGACGAGGGGTGACGGGGGGACGGGAAGGAGGACAGGGTGATGGGGGAAAGAGAGATAGGGGAATGGTGGCAGAAGGGGAGGCTGATGACTTCTCCGCTGATAATCAGCCACCGCAGCCTCTGGGATAATTCAGCTGTCAATGCCACCTAGCAGGGCCCAGCATCAGGCAGCCGACCCCAGCTGGTGCCTTTCACTCAAGTGGAGGGAGGGGTGGAGGGATGCAGGAGCAGAAGATGGAGTGAGGACAGCGTCTTCATCTCATGTCAGAGTTTAAACGCTTTAAATGAAAGCCGCCATGCAACATTTCATAGATGAGAAGAGCATCATCCTTCAGGTGACGCCTCCAATTCATGGAATCTTCATGATCTGCTGCAAGTTTGATCTTCATTTATTTCACTGGAATAATGACAAAAAAGCTTTACTTGTGATCATTCTCAGATTATCGTGTGGATAATAAGTGTTCCTAATGATATTAGTTCAGCCCTTAAAGGGGTTCTGACTGAGAAACTGTTGTTTCTAAAGATGATGCTGATGATAATGAGTCACATTTAAGCACTGTTTCCACACCTGTGTAGGTTGTTGCTCAGGTGTGAACCCAGAACTCCCCATAAGGTGTGGAAGAAGGAAACTCCCCAGATCCAGGTATATTAATGCCATCTCCTCCATCCTGTACACCAACACTCCCATAGCCGGGGTTGAAATGCATTCTGGGATGTAAAAGTGGCAACACGCAGCCAAAATTGAACCAAATGTGTACGATCATTTGGCCAGACGACTCACGAATAGTTCACAAAAAGCTCAGAGAGAGGAGTTCAGAGCATGCTGTCAACCAGCAGTTTTGCTGTTTTTACTAGCCCCGCCCCCAGGCTGTCTGACCAATTAGCAAATTAAAGTGACTCAACATGTGTGAAAAGAAATCATATCTCATAAAGAAAACTTTAGATTAGAAAACTCGACAGAAAACACCTTCAGTGCTTCACACATGCACATTTACAACTTTCAAGTACCATTTGTAGCCTTAAACATTTTATACTTTGTCTCAGTAGCAGCCTTGTTGTACAAGTCTGCATCATAGAGGCCGGCAGCTGCTAACATGGCAGGACTCACCTGGTTTTAGAGCAGTTATCAGTGTCAACCCTGGAAGGCTGGGGGAGGGGAGGAGGGGGTGCCCTATGGCTGTCATTTTACAATTTAAGAGCAAAGAGCTGCTGAAACCCATGGAAAGCTTGGATGAGTTGCTCTGTACCAGGTTTCCGTCGTGGCAGCAACATCGCTGCTATTCCAGAAGGACAAAAGAGAACAAAACTGTACTCAGAGTTTTTTCTCATGTGTGTAGGAATGGGAATTGATAGTTTTTATTCAGCGTTTTTTGTAAAGCGCAATTAAACATACGCTGTTTTCTATCTGTTTTGCTCATGCAGTACTTAGTTTCTTGTACTGTTCTTAGTTATAACCCATATTGAATGTATAGTTGTCCTATTTTCACAGGATTTTATCACCTCATAAAGTTTAACCATTTACTCTGTGCTTGTAATTTCTTGATCTATGTGTGATGAGTGCGAGTTGTACTTGTGTGAACTATCTGTATTTGGTCTTCAACAGGATATATTTTCATTAAAATCACACCAGATAAGCATGTTGCAGCACTTCCCATTAACGGTCTTGGTTCCAAAGAGGTGAATCGCTGCTGCACCTGTCAAGAATAACGCTTAAACGTGAAACTGCTTAAGCAGAGACCTCCTGTGATGAAGGAGGAACGTGAGTGCCTTTGTTTGTTTTTTGTAAATTTGTCTTATTAATTTTCATCTCGTCTGAATGTCTTTGTTTTTACTGCTTATCTGTCTTATTGTCACGGGCCATGAATCAAAAAGCAATTACTTCATATCTAACTTTGCATCTTCTCACGTTTATTGCTGCAGTTTAATCTTTCATCTGGTCGACACAACGGAACATCATCATCACGATCGCCATCGCCGTAACAACTTTACCAAGAAAATTATATTAACACAGCCCCCCACCCCACCGCCCCACTTTCATATTAAAATAAAGCACAATCTCATTTCTCGTGCAGATGATGGCATCAGGCACAAATGCATTTATCAGCAGACAGCACAGAAGTCAGGTTATAAACAATATCATTCATTATCCGGCCCAGATGCAGCGATTGTTGATTAAAGGGTTTTGAATATAACAGCCGCACACACACACACACACACACACACACACACACACACACACACACACACACACACACACACACACAGATGGGTGGACATTAGGAAAGAGGAGAGGCCATCTGAATAGGCTGGAGGGACATTAACGGCAACAATGATTGATTTTTTCCACGCAGGCTTTTTAATGGTATTGTTATTCTTCAGAGTTATACCCCGTCCTCCCCACAACTCGACTCACAGATAAATGGAGGTGTAATAATGAATAGAAATTATCCTGATTATTTTGGTGGAGGTGCAGGAGAGCAAGTGAGGTGTGAGTCACAATCCAGCACCGAGCTTGAAGCCTCGTCAACAAGATCTTTGGCATTCACTTTGATGTTTTATAGACGTGCTTAAGGGGTAACAAAGAATAATATACAGGCTTTTTCCAAAAATGTATTCATAATAAAATGCTAAACATAATTTGTGAGGATATTATGCATTTTTGTAAAATAATACATTCTGTTGTAAAGGTTTGATCTGAACCGTCGTGCTAAGAGCCTTAAAACGTAATTATAATAAGAAATCTCACAAACTTGGTAAAAATGTATGCTAGCAACATGTTTCTACATGTTTTCCACTTTATTTTAACACGTTTGACACAACTCAGAATATATCGTCCAAAAAACACCTGGATTCGTTTACTGACTTTTGGCTAAAATAGCATTAAAGGTGTGGTTCACCTGTTAAATCAGTATTTGCTCTAGTCTCTAGTAGGAATGAATGCCTTGTAAGTCGTAGTCTGGGGACACAAAGCTTCGATGCACCACAATCAGGAAATAGAAGTGAGCCACATCTCAGCTGCGCTTCAGACGAATTTGGACATCTTGTCTCTGATTGGCTAACAGCAACATGACTCTACCACTGACTCTGCTTGCTCTGCAATGTTGATGTTTTATCTCCACAAGCCTGAAGAAGTCCTGCTGTGTGGTGGAGTTGCTAATGCTAACTGTTAGCTTCTAGTAGCCAAGATGTCCTCCGCTGTTTCCTGGATGCTAAACCAACAACAGCCTTCTCCGTCGTGAGTCAGCATGGGTGAGTTCGTGAACGTTAAATGACAGCGTGACGTAGATCTGTGACTTTCTGAGTTTCACCGTCTATTTTGTATCAGATGCTAATGCGGCAGATAGATGTAAGAGATTATTTTCATGTTCAGCCTGCATGAAACACTCAGAGGGACTGATTATAATCAGAAATAATCATTACAAATATTTTTCAGTGTTCAACGCCTTTAATAGGGTGAATATGTGCAACAGTTGTAGTTTTCCTTCCTTACTTCTGAAGTATGATGATAATGGCTAAAGTTTAGATCTTCTCCACCTTCGTTATATTGTCTAAATGAGCTGCTTGTTTCATTTTGCCGTAAACATGAGATGTAAATAAAGCTAAAGTTCTTTTTAAATCTCTTAACAAAAAGAGAATTAGCTGTTCATCATAATGCAAATTAACTCTCTCTGTAATAGTCGCTCCTTTATCTTTAACTATTGAGTCTTATGTTCAGTAAAACTTAAAAATGGTTTTATTACTTTTTATCTTGAACACAGATAAAGTCACGTGACACCGGCTTCTGCAAGACGGTGCTCAACGGGCAAAGCGTAAAATGAAAAACTTCCCGATTTGTTTTATATTTTTACTACCTCAGAGCATTTATGAGCCACAAAAATTAATTAAATTTACCCTAAAATCAAGTTTTCTAAACACTTTAATCTATCTCTAAATGTCAAATAAAGATCTTAACTTTGCTGTAATTAGGATCAAATTAAAACACTGATGTGGGAACAGAACTGAAACTCTCTCTTTAGAATATGTACTTTACTAACAAGTACCATAAAAAGCATGTGTTTTCTGCTTCACTGTAAAAACAAACTAACTAAAACACAACTTTGTCATAATAATTACTTCTGTTGTCATCCTTGCCCACTGAGTGGTGATGGTGTGAACAGCTGAAGTGGACGTTTTCAAAAACACGTTGATTTGATGTGAGAAGCCAGATTGTCCAAAGCAGTTGTGTTTATGAGACTCTCCTCTGGCACCTGCTGCAGCGCTGTCCGCCTGCCAGCATCACACACGCAGACACGCTCGCAGCCTCCTCAGCTCTCCTCTCCGTTTAGCCTCTCTCCACACAAATGATGGTCATTATCACTTCTCGATTACATCCACGGGCCTCAGCTGCTGTTCCTCTGCTGAAACACCAAAAATATGCATTCAGCCACTGCAAACGTTTTAAAGCATAACATGCTGTAAATACTGGATGACGGTGCATTTTTTCTTATGTACTTTGCTGTCTTGTGTACCACCATACCTCGGGTTTTACAGCAAATGAATAAATCATCTTTATGCACACTAAATCCATAAATGTGCTTCATTATTTTAGCTTTACTGAACCATAAAAGAACTGATCCTTTAACTGGATCTAATCAGAAACTTTTTTTTTCTTCAAATTCCTTAATTTCCAGCTTTTTCTTCTCCTCACTAGCACCATTATCACATGGTCAATGTTCCACCTAGTTCTCGCCTCTTCATCCGTACCAACATGTTGTGCATCATCCACTCCCTTCCTCTCCTGCAGCGAAATGTTGTGATGCCTTCCTCCAACATCCTCCCCTCTCCACTCGCCACCCTTCTTCCACCCTCTCAGTAATCAGGGCCAGATGGAGGCAGAGATGGAGTGATGCAGGGAGGGAGGATTGGGTTTGGTCCTAGCAGTGTCTCAGAACGTGGGGAGCTGTCAGCCCTGCAGGGAGAGAGGAATTCTCCAGTAATAAAACTGGGATTTATCACCACTCCGCCCAAGAGAAGGGAGACATGGGTGAGGGTATGAGGCAGAGGAACGGACAACGGAATCGAGAAAGTCGGATAATAAAGGACGATGTGGGAGAATAGAACAGTCGTTTAAATGAGAAACTTGCAGAATTTTAAAGGGAGAGGAAATGCGACTCTTCTACTAAAATGTGTCAAACAGATGAAAGGAGTAGAAGAAAGTTAAACCACAGTGGATGCTGCTGGAAAGGTCCAAACTGAGAAGACAAAACAGAAATTGCAGAAGACAGTTGCATGATGGCACCCACAGCAGCAGGCTGACAAATTCTCTCCTGCCATCTGTACAAGCGTGGAGATCAGCGTCTGTCCTGAATCTGATGCCCGGTTGCGTTCAAGGGATGTGATGTCAAGCAAAAACGAGTCAACCTCCCCACTGGGCCAAATGAACCTGCTAAAATAACCGCTCCCCACAATCGGCTGTGTAATTGAAACCAGAATGTGCAGGATTTGATGAATTGTTTGACCCTGCAGGAATGTTAAGGTCATAAATTTTTAGTGCGTTTTGGTGGTGCTGAGATGTGCAGAGGTGCATGTTAGGAACACCAAAGTGGGCCTGAAACTCAGAAAAAAAGAGCCGTGTGTGTTTTAATAATTCAAAACACAAATGGTCCTCCGTAGTTCTGGGGTAGTGCCGAAACACGGGTCCAGTTACCCAAATGGGTATCAGCTTTTGGTGCAGTGAGGTTTACTCAGATCAGTTTTCCTCTACATATGTTAAATTTCACAACTGGAACAGGAACTGTGCACTGATCAGTTATAACAATGACTGCAGTTACACGCACAATGACTGACTTCTAAGTCGATCTGCCGATCTTATTGTAATGAGCTGGGAGTCTTTATCCCAGTTTGCATGTGCATTAGAAAACTGGCCTCTCAGATAAAGTTGGTTCCACTCCGGTACAGTAGATGGCGCCACGCGTCTCTTCATGTCGGCATTCTTCTGGTTAGCTTATAGCAACACAAGCAGTAAACAGAGGCTGGCGGGAGTGAAACAGGATATGCACAATGGCTGAAGGAACGTACAACAACGCTGCAACACAGCTTATTTGGTACGTACCGTCCTGTTTTATGGTGTTACGCATGTTGCTTTGCGACGATGGTCTTCTCAGAAGACCGTTTCTGCGATCTCGTCACTTCCGGAATGCGAGCGTCTTACCGGTTTAGTTCGGCTGACCCATTTACAACCAGAATGCATTTGGATTGCTATCGCTTTTTCTGGGTGCTTCAGCTCAATTAGACTCAGTTTGCCTTCAGCCAGATTAACATGTTCATATGCAATAAAAAAAACCGACGTGAGTCTTTTTAGGGCAATACTTTGGTTTTCTGATGCACATGTAAACACACTGATTGACTCAGTCCCCCGTCAACTAAGGAATTATGTTCTTCACCCCTTTCTCTTAGAAGAAAGCACATCTGCATGACTGCTGCCAAGGTACGTTTATCAAAACGGTAAGAATACACAGAGAAATAAAACAGATGCAGTAAAAGTATCTGGCTCTGTTGTGATGAAAACTAATCACATCCAATCATATCTGGTTCTGATGAGAAATGTAAAACCACAAGTATTAGGGTCTAGAAAAATAATAAAGTATAATAAAAACTATCTTTGTGGTTGTCAAAATCAAATAAAATATCATTTTGTTACAGCTTAGAAGTTATATTCAGCATGCTGCCTACATACATAAAGTGTGATGCATCCTTCCAATGGCTTGTTTTTGTTTCATCGTTTTATTCTAGGACTGACCAAACCTGTCATTTCATTACGAGACCATTTCTGCTGCTCAGCTCAGGTTTAAATTTTGTCTTCAAGGAAAATAAAATTAAACTTGTTTTACTCAGGATTTCAAAACCTGCAAAGATCTGGAAATAATTTAAATCAAGATATATGAACTTCTGTTTGTTAGTTTGGGGGGGGGGGGGGGGGGGATAACAGTGCATCCACAAAATAATGAATTTAATTTCTTAAACAAACAAAGGACGAGTCAGACATTCTGAGATGATTTTACAACCAAAATTCCACACAACAGGAGTTGAGGCATAATCAAGGAGAACATTTGTAGGACTCTGCAGAAATGTTAAAGAAATACTTTTTTTTTTTGCAGTTGTGACATAGATAAAAGTAGTAATTTAATAGGTTCCAACTAAATTACAACTGGTTCCCATGGTGAAGTTGGCATGTGCAAACATGGTGGACAAGAAAGCGACAAGAATTAGCGATAAGTGTGTGCCTCCACCCCTTTATTTCCTTAATGGCTACATGTCACATTCTGCAGGATGCATGCTCATTTTTCTTTAGGGAACACCACACATGCTGCAGCATCAGGACCAGCACTTAGAAAATCTCAGATTTGTGATTGGAGCAGTCTTGATGACCAGAGCCCTCCTAACATCCCACACACAACAGGACTACCTGATGAGATTATCTTTAGAGTCAATACAGTAATCAGAGTATCTGTAAAGCATTGTTCAACTTCTGGCCTAATTTGGGCTGATTACACACCCGTGCAACTATTTTTGGGGCTGGGACAAGTTTCAAGTGTTGGATCTCTCTATCCCTTTCCTATTGCTTACTATTGAATTGTGCAAGACGAAAGGAACGTGACTGTTGTGCATGGATATAGTTTTGACTTTAAAAGTGGGGGGCACACATCTGGCATGAGGACCGTGGGGTGGGGAGTGGGGGGGTGGGGGGGTAGACATCAACACAAACGGGGTTTTTCCGCTTGGTCCTAGTGCTCATCCAGTGTCTATTTTATATGGTGTAACATTGTTTTTGGATGGTAAAAAGTGCAGGGGTCAAAGCCTGACTTTGGAAAAAGTGTGTGTGTGTGTGTGTGTGTGTGTGTGTGTGTGTGTGTGTGTGTGTGTGTGTGTGTGTTTGTGTGTGTGTGTGTGTGTGTGTGTGTGTGTGTGTGTGTGTGTGTGTGTGTGTGCGTGCACGTGCGTGCGTGCGTGTGTGTGCATGTGTGTGTGTGCGTGTGTGTGTGTGTGTGTGTGTGTCTTGTTGTGTACATGTGACATGTGTTTTTTTAACTTAACTAATTTTGTAACTAGGTTCTACTTTTAATGTTTTTTTACTATTATTTTTTTATGCTCCTTAGAAGAAAGTACTTTCAAATTTCGTTGTACTTGTGCAATGATAATAAAAGCATTCATTCAATCATTCGTTCGTTTGTTCATTCATAATGTCTTGAACCTCTCCAACTGCGCATGCACCATTGTGGGAGTTGTCTCTTTTTTATTTACACTGGCAGGGTCGCCAACGAAGTGTGAATGCTTTTGATGAGCATCTTTTCATTCCCAGGTGTGCGTCCCTTATTTCCAGTTTTAATTATTTCTTTCTCATTGTGTCACATACACGGTGACCGTGAGAGTGCTAAGGTTGTATCAGACCATCAGATTGTACAGCAAGATTCTGGAACTGTGACTTATTAAACCCTGTCATGAAGTTTGAGCTGAATATAAAAGAAAATAGCATATATGCGTATCTTGGGATCTTGGGAAGGTCAAACGGTTACATCAGTAAGGGACCCTGTCCCAGACACAAAGGTCAACACTGGAAGGGTCTATCTGCTGGCAGCTCCAACATGATCAAATAAAGATCAAAACACTTTCAGATCATAATCATCTGTAGATGCCAGTCATCAGTTCTTCGTTGGTCACTTTAAAAGTGATGGTAAAACATAACAACTACATTGGCAGGTTAACCTTAAATGGGCCAAATGCAGCTAAAAACACAAAGACCCGGAGTTAAACTCGGCCAGTCGTAGTTCTGTCACGTGTAACTGAACCAGCCTGTATGCTAACAGAGCCGGGATACCAAGAGCCCAGCAAGGACCTGAGTGCAAACAGAGGTCAGCACAGTGTAAACAGAGACCGCGGCACGATTTATGATGCTTTCTGGCTGCTAAGAAGAGGGCTCTGCACATTCTCAAGATTAAAATAGCTTTTTGCAGCTTTTCAATCAACCACACTTGGTTGACATTGTTTTTGTGATTTTTTCACTATTCATTTTCCCTCTGGTCACCACTGTTGCTGCTCTATGTGTCAGTAGCTTTCATCGTGTATTCATCTTTCTAGTATTGGGTCAACAGTTTAAATGTGAGCAGACTTGGGTTCTGTCTCTGATAAACCTGACCTCTCTGAATCCCAGCCCTGGCCACTGCCAGACTGAAGGTGACCCAGTCACACATCTGGCACTACACGAGAGACCTTACACTCCCACCCTCTCCTCGCTGCCTTTCCCTGCCTGTTGACAGTCGTTACCTGTGCCCCAGAGGGCCCTCGCTGCCCTGCAATGAAACAACCTCTATACAAAGCCAGCCACTCTTTCTATTTTCCAAAATAGCTTTTAATTTTACAAGTTTTATGACCCTAATATTGACTTCACATGTTTAACAAGACACCGTGTCCTCTCCCTCACCGCTCTGGGTTCATGATGGGAGTTTTATTCTTTAGTCATCAGGAGAAAAGTGGAAGAAATGCAAAATGGATCAAAAATATGAAGAAGAGCTTTACAGCAACACACAAGACTCAACATGACCAAAAATGCCATTAATACATCTAACATAACTAATGAAGATTAAAAGCATGAATCATTAACTGGTTTTACTTCTGGAAATGATGAATACATTAATAAAACTGCAGATTACAGACAGACAACACACATTAATTCTGTAAGTTTAGATCAAAATTTCCTGGTTGAGGTTACAAAAAAACAAGAAAATAACAGATTAGATCAATGCCTGCATTCTGGACTCGGCTCGAACTTTATTTGTATAGAACTTTACAGACATGAGTTAAAACAACACATTACTGTCTGTCCCAAAAAACGTTGCCACCTGGATTTAACAAAGCAAATAGGTAGGAGCCTCCTAATTACTGCATGCGTGATTATCATTCAGCTGGCAACAAGTTACTGTATTTAACCCCAACTGGTGCAATGAGTTGCTTCTTATTTCGTAAAGCTGTGGTTTATTTGTTTATTCAATACATTTACAGTGCTCTCTAGTGTACGTCTATTACTTGAGTCATTAAATTAAAAGCTATGAGGCTCCTGTTGATACAGAAGTTTGCTGGTGCAGAGGTGGTGTTATGGAAAAATGTATGTTTATTAATTCTTGATCATGGACTCAACCAACTGGATGTAATATGTACTGCTCTATGCTAGCCTGGCAAGCCAGACTAAATAAATGTATTATTTAGTCTGGCAACGCTCCATTGATGGCTCTCGGTTGTGGGGCGGGTTCTACCGTTGTCATTCAAATGATCTCCGCATGCTACTGGACAATGAATGTGACATACTCACCGCAACAGCTATCGGTAAATGAGGCGGTCCGCAGTTGAAGGAGAAAACACATCATTTTTCTAAAAAATAAAAAGCACTTAAATGCATCTATCTGCTCCTTATTCTAATGAAGCCCAAGTTCTAATAGTCCAAAATTGATGTAAAAGCCATTTCAAATGAGCTGTCGCCATCTTGTTTCACTCTGTTGCATCATCCCACCCACCAGACATATAGAGTGCCCTGATTGGCCCACAAAGCGGATAAAGCTCTGTGATTTGTTCACTAAGCAGATAGAGCACTATGATTGGCCCACCATTATGGACCAATCACAGCTCTTTATGTGTTTGAAACCCCTCTAGAGAGCTGTGATTGGCCAGCCAGAATGCTGTTGGTGGCTGCAGAGGTTTCAGTGGAGCGTTCCGAGACCAAACTTTGCAAAGCAAGAATTTGGTCTAGTTCACTAGGCTAGCTCTATGCCTCTCTGCATGCTCACACACACACACACACACACACACACACACAAACACACACACACACACACACACACACACACACACACACACACACACAGACACACACACACACACACACACACACACACACACACACATTCTTGCCCCACTCATGCACACACACACACACACACACACACACACACACACACACACACACACACACACACACACACACACACACACATTCTTGTATTCATACACACACTGACCCTCTCTCACACAACGACCTCACTTCTCCTTTCTTATCTTCCTCTCTATAAATAAAGCCTGTGAACAGATGTTCGAGGCATTTGCTTCGGCATCTTACCACAGTTATAACTGGTTGACTTCTCTGCTCATTGTCTCCTTCTCTCTTCACTGTAGGTAATGGGTTATTGATAAACATATTGATAAAATCCATGACAGGTGGGCTGAAAACAGCAGGATGATTGGTTATAATGAATGATTATGTTTATGTTTATGTTTTTTTATTTAGCGGACGTTTTTGTCCAAAGCGACTTACAAGTGATAATCGGCATGCTGCCCTAGAGGCTAACAACAACAATAACAACAACAACATCGACATCAGTCATGGAGAGGAGGGAACAAAGGAGTGGACAGTAGAGAGGAGGGACGGGTGCGGGGAAGGTGCTAGTTCAGCAGATGCTCTCTGAAGAGCAGGGTCTTCAGGAGTTTCTTGAAAATTGAAAAGGAAGCTGCTGTTCTGGTAGTGCTTGGTAGGTCATTCCACATTTGTGGAACGATGCATGAGAAAAGTTTGGATTGTCCTGAGCGTGGTGTAGGCACTGCTAGCCGACGATCCTGTGATGACCGGAGCGGCCGGGCCGAGACGTAAGCCTTTGCAAGAGGATTCCGGTAGATGGGAGCCACACAATCTCAGACTTTGCATGCTCTGCAGAAGCTTATGGAAACAATTCCACAGTGAATGTGTGTGTAATCAAAACTAAAGGTGGTCCAACAAAATATTAGAGTGTGTGAACTTTTTTGGGTGGCGAAAACATTTGGGGGGGGGGGGGGGGGGGGGGGGGCGACGGGGGGGCGACAGTGTTATATAAATCAATAAAACAATACAAGCAAATAAAACGACAGTAAGAGATCGGAATCAAAATAAAACACTA